GAATGGCATTATACTATAGCGCCATTCTCAAGTGTTAGACTGACCTAAATGCTTCTGGTAAAGTGCGTGACTCTGTTAAACGGAAAGATAAAGCTCATCACCGAAAGTGGATCCAAGTCATTTTCAACACTTCTTGTTTCTATTTTAATTGACATAATATACCGTCGTAACGGTTCAATGATTTGGAGGATCAGTGTCTTTTCTCACCAAGAGTCAGATCTCACATCAGAGACCATTACTCACAGCCACTCTCTACCCAAGGATTGAATTGCCTCGCATATTTTATTCGTCTGCATTCATCTGACACGTCCCTGTCATTTCGAGAAGACCCAAGGAAGATCGGTCGTATATCAAAGAAAAAACAGACAGCAAAGTGTTCTACCCCCAAATGCGACTTCACTTAGAGTCTAGAAGACCGAAGAACAGTCGCTACCGATCCGAACTTGGTAACGACGATTTGACAAGAAGAACTGAATTCACTGCCTATCTCTAGGGTGGATAACAAACCAATGAAGCGTGCTGGCAATATATGAAAGGGTACCTTGCCGTAAACTAAGTTATTTTGCTCAAGGTGCATAAGGTGCATCGAAAATTCCCTGAAAATTTTCTAAAACACCCCAGCGAAAATAGAAGTAGTGCTCATAAGATGTTAATTTCTTCGATCTGGAAAGGGTTGTTTCATAGATGGTATAGTCGAGAATGGCATTCTAAGAGCGACTGGGAGCTCTCGAATTCATAAGAGTGACTGTATTGTATAATAATGGATATGCTAAGATAGGAAAAATCCTTTTGGGAAAACTACAATGGAAGATGCTATCTAGTAGTATCTCTAATGGCTAGGCGAATTCAGGAGAAAGCCTATTCTGACTGTGCATATATACTGACAACTGTAAACAGCTTGTTCTCTTATTACTTTAGTAAATGTGAATGTACTGCGGTGACGGAACTTCTCTCCGAAAACCAACGGAAAGCGACAAAGGTAGACGGCGGCTACCCTGCCCTTCCACTGGGATCTGAAACCTTTCCCTTCCCTTTCCGTACCCGATAGCGCGCGGATGCGCGCGATCGGGTACGGCGAGTGCGACGTCGTTTTCGGGGAAAAGATATCGGACCTAAATGATTCCATATTTGTCACTAATTCTCACAGCCGCTCTTTCTGAGAACCAAATTCTAAATTTAGAGAGTGGCTAAACGTCATTGAATTTGTTTATTAGTGGCGTTTTTAATTTCCCCTATCTGTACACTACCAGATAATAGTTAAGACTAAAACAACAGTTTCCATTCGTCAAAGGTTCAATCCTCGGAAAAGCTCTTGTATATCGCAACAACATTGAAAGAAAAACTCGTATTCATTCCTTACAATATTCTTCTCAACACAACGGTTGTTCCTTAAATGCGAATTTCCGAATTACGGTAAAGGCTTTCCCAATCTATCTTTTCTCCTTCCATTATATTGACTTTTATGCACGTCTTTTCCTGCGAGCGCCTTTCGTTTGCTCACCGAGCCAGATTTACCGGTGATTATGTTTGTATCTATTTACTCATATACATCATCGCACCTTCACCGGTCACCGGTCCGCTACCCTTGAGCTTAGGGAAGTTGAAGTGGCCTAAGGAAACACTGTCAACCTCCCCAACACCTTCAATACCTTCAGTCCAATTTTCATCAATTCTCCTTCACTAGCTTCCTTTTCAAAAAGCTAGCAACAGACGCCCTGCATTGGTTAACTTCTTGTTCTGCCTCGATACTTTTTCATGTTTTTCCATGCTCTTTGACTTTTTCCAACTTTCCAGCGACTCTTTTTTTCATGACATTTTCAGCGAACTGTTCTCTTTTTGCATCGATGCATTGTACTTCTCTTTTATCTCTGTACCAGTTTTGGCAATTATTTGGAAAGATCGAATGAAAGGCTTGCTGGCGTACTAATTCAATGGAACTTTCTACTTCGCTTCTGTTCTCTTTACCTTTAATTGAAATGAAACTAACCTAATCTTAGAATGAGTACTCGTAGCTTAGGTTCAGTGCAGTAGACCTTCGTGGGAACAAGTCATTCAGTCTTTTAGGACCATCACAAAATACGGAAAGAGTCTGAGGGAAGCCAAGGGAAAGGAGCACAGTAGATTCGAAAGCCAGTGCCTTTGTTTTTTCATTGTTGCCTGGATGTGCTTGAATGCTTTCGTTGTTTTTCGCTTTTTTTCTGCTGTACTGTGAAGCGTAGGTAATAAGTCCATCCTTAATGTAGAAGGGATTTCCAAACTCTGTAGAAGCCATAAATAGTGGCACTCATGATCTTCGGTTAGTCTTGAGACTGTTGACGATAGTTGCAACTGTTGTCCTTTTTACATTTTCAAGCTATATCGCAGTCTGGCTGGCTATTCTTGGAAAGTGTATTCCATTCTACCACCTGCATTCTTATCTTACTCCTCTTTTGAAACATGCGAACGAGTCTCACAAGGTTGGCGATATGGGGGCAAAACTCCAGTCTCGGATGGGACTCAAACCCGTACCGCTTTCCGGGGACCGTGCTCTGTACCTTACGCTACAGGACCCCACGTGTCCGGGTGTGTGTCAAGTCGTGCGACCGAGGGTGCGCGCGGCAAATTGCGCTGCGAAGTTCGTGGCGAAATTGGCCGACTCCGGCGCCTATCATTGGGGCCCAAATCTGAAGTAAGATAGATTAGTAAGGTCAGCTGATCCTACTATTCTAATTTCCTTCAAAATTGGGCGTAAGTAATAGGCGCTAAGGTCGTCAGAATAGGTATGGGTTTCGCCGCGCGCACTCACGGACGCACGACTGACCGTCCCCCCGCTTGCCCTCGCCTTCTTAATGGATTATATACCATAGCTTATCAGCACTC